GGCATTTATGGATACCATACCTTCGGCACCCCCTTCGGCACCTAAGACATTCTACAGTTGGGGGAAGTGCAAATGGGATTTATTTGTCAAGGACTTCGACGCACAACTTCCGGCATATGACTATAAAAAGCGGTCCACCGGCATTAAAGCTTTCACGAGAGCGCTTATTACTTCGTATCGACGACATTGCCCCCGCGGCATGCACAAGGATGGTCCCAGGCTTTGGGACGACACTCTCATGGAAGCAGAGCGGATTGCTACCGACAGCAAGGCCCGCTATCTACAGTTACCGACGCCCGACCGTGAGGCAGAAATGCAACGGACAAGGAGTCAATTCTTCCTCCTACTCCGAGAGCGCTTGCGCAACACGTATCTACGTCGCATCAGCAAGTTAAATCCAGGCGAACCACTCGCATGGAAATACATTTCCGGACGAAAAAAGGCATCACTTCCACCTCCTACATCATTGTTGTTGGGAGATGGTCAACACACTTACAAAACAGCAAGGAGAGCAGCGAATGCTCTCAATCGCATCTTTTTTCCACTTCACCCCTCTCACAAGGCAGTTAGGTTTTCCAAAGGCATCAACAGACAGAACCCATCTTTGGGCATTGTTTCTTCTTCCCTTTTTGGGCAGCAGAACAACAACGAGTCTGCTGCCTCATTTACTTCATTTTCTTCTACTTCTTCTAGCTCTGAGCCGCAGAACAACAGCGGGTCTGCCGCAACATCTAGCTTAGTTTCTTCTACCTCTCTTATCTCTTGTATTTCTGAGCCGCAGAACAACAGCGAGTCTGCCGCTACATCTAATTCAGTTTCTTCATTCTCATCTAGTTCAGAGCCACAGGATACAAACGAAGCTGCCACTACATCTGGTTTATTTGCTCATCTTCACTCCCCTCTTGATGCACCTTTTAATCATTACGGAACTGCTTGCTGCGCTACGTAATACGCCGTATGGCAAGGCCCCCGGACCGGATGAAGTCTACAGTGAGGCACTGCGACATATTTCGTCAAAGGGTCTTCGATTCCTTCTTCGTTGCGTTAACCACAGCTGGACGACCGGTACGATCCCGGCTGAGTGGAGACGCGCTACCATCGTCCCACTCTTAAAACCCGGTAAGTCGCCGGAACTGCTTGAGTCATATCGACCCATCAGCCTTACTTCCATTGTGAGTAAGGTTGCTGAGAAAATGGTACTCAAGAGATTGCTTTGGGTGTGGACGCCACACCCCCACCAGTATGCATATCGTGGTATGCGTACCACGACGATGCAGCTGGCACACCTGGGACACGAAGTGGAGCATAATAGAAATCATTATTTCAAAGTGAACCTTCCCAAGAAGAGCGGTATTGGTAATCAACTCCACTACAGACCCCATCGGACTCTGCTGGTGTTGGTTGATTTCAGCAAGGCCTTTGACTCCATAGATCATCGAGTCCTCAGTCGCTTGCTGGCTAATATTCCGGGGGTGAATTGTAGAAGGTGGCTTAGAAAATTTCTATGTGGTCGCTACGCGAAGAAACGAGTCGGTAACAGACGCAGTGATCGGCGTCCCATGCTGCGAGGAGTTCCTCAGGGGTCCGTATTGGGAACATATTTGTTCTCCCTTTACGTACACCCACTTCTCAATCTGCTGAACAGCTTTGCGGGTGTCACAGCAGACATGTATGCGGACGACCTCTCTATTATCGTTAAGGGGCAGTCCCGGGAAGACGCCATTCCCACTGCCAACATGGTTCTTAAAAAACTGCATGCGTGGAGTCAGGAAAATGGCCTGGCCATTAACCCGTCAAAGTGTGAAGCCGCTTGGTTCACGCTCTCCACGCACACGGACTCAGATTATGATCGTGAAGGAAAGTGGCCCCTGGTAGTGGCTGGATGTGAAATCCCAGTCATGACCATGGGGGCATCGCGAACTACGAAGCTTCTTGGCATGGATCTCGATCCACGACTGACGCTAAATGTGGCGGCCTCCAAGCAATGCGCTGCCACTTCGCAACGGATATCGCAGCTACGCTGCATAGCGCATAAAGAGGCGGGACCATCTCCATATGACCTACGCACGTTCGTCATTGGATACGGTGCTTCCAAATTACGCTATGGCAGCGAGCTCATATGGGCAGTAGCGACGGATTCAGCGAAGAATGAGATGCAGAGGACGTATGCAACCCTGGCACGCATTGTCAGCGGAGTTCCGAGCACTGTTGACCCGGAATCCGCACTTCTAGAGGCTAATATGCCGCCGCTCCATGTCCTCTGCCTGCGCGCGCGGCTCTCCATATTTGAGAACACACGCGCTTGCCAGATGGACTGGATGCGGAGACCTCCGCCTGAGCCACCGCCTCGCGCAGGCTTCCGCATCTCGCCATTATCTCGGGACGAGCTATATGCCTTTGTAGACGCATACACAAAGGACTATGGCATCACTCAGAGCTCACCACGCGAAGAGCGGTTCTTTCGCAGCTCCATTCCTCTCTGGTTTGCGGCCTCCGCACACCGGGTCACCATTGGCGTGGAACTTCCGATAGACCACTCAATAACTGACGAGGAAGAGCTGACAAGGGAAAAGCGCAGAGTCAGCGAAGAGGCTCTAGCGCTGCACAGTCATCGTTCGTGGATACTCGCGACGGATGGCGGTGTCGACGTTCCCAAGTCAGCCGGGGTTGGAATACTGCTTTCATCCCTCAATTCATCGGAGATAATAGAAAAGGCCAGTATAAACTGCGGTGCACGCCCATGCAGCTACAGGACGGAATCCCGCGCACTGCTTCTAGCCCTAGAGAAGCTGATTATCCCTCGCATCCAACACAGGCATAAAACCCTGCTTGTGGTTACAGACAGTCAGTCTCTTCTTGCGGCTTTAAATAAGGGCCCGCTCAGTCAGACAGACTGGACGGAGGATCAGATCTGGCAGCGTCTCTTAACACTGACGTGTGCTGGCTGGTCCGTGCACCTGCAGTTTTGTTACGGACATTGTGAAGTACATGCTAACGAGCTTGCAGATCAGCATGCGACGCAGACTATGGAGACTGGACAATACACGGAGCAAGGAATCGCACCTTTATGGCATACGGATTTGCTGACATGTTTTACTACCCTGCTCACCAACAAGTGGCGTAGTACGATTCGTCAAGACACTCATCGCTACTTGCTTTGCGGCACAAAGCCATCAGATCTCAGCGGTAAAGACCTGATCACTCAGGAAGTTCTTCACCGTCAAGAACTGGTTCACCTCGCTAGGGCAAGGTGCGGCGAATCTGAGCTCTGGGGCCGACTATACTGGGCTGTGAGAGATTGCACGAACCAATGCCGTTTCTGCAACATCTCACCAGAACAGTCTGCATATATGCGCTCCAACAACGATCCAACTGCACCGGGGACGGACACTGTTCCCCCGTCGGCAAGGGAGGAAGACGTCTCTCCAGTAAGGAGACGGACCATCACACGTCGTCGGAAGGAGAAATGTCCGTACTGTGATTCTACATTGACGGGATTCTCGAATCTCGTCAGTCACTGTCGGTCATTTCATCCGGAACATCCTCCACCGCTTCCCGAGCTCAAATGCGATTTCTGTGGTATGCTTTTCCCCACACGGAGAAGCACTGCACAGCACAGAAATCGCTGCGCACACAGCCCGGAAGCTAATCGACATCGAAACAGCAGTGCCGGGAGGCGATCTCCGCTGCCGCAGGATCGGCCGGCCTCGCCGCGAGCACGCCAATTGGCCCGCAGGAGACCTTGCACCATCTGCTTCTAGAATGCCCAGGCGCCCGGGCCGCGCCCTAACGGCCGGGCATTGAACAGGGCCTTCGCCATAGAAAGTTCCCCCAAGGGCGGCGGCCTCATGGCGGGAAACTTTTGTCGCTGCTCGACCACCTCTTCGCCCACATGGCGGCGTGTGGCGGGGCGCGGGGGCGAGAGTAGAAAAGAAAAAAAAACGACGGCGGAAGAGGGGAGGGTTCCTCCCGGGTGGCGAATTTTCGTCGCCCCTCGAAAAGGCGTCCGCCACGGTAAATATTAATGCCTTGCCCAAAACGTAAGACGCAAATCTATTCCCTTATCCTTGTGTTCTTTTGCGCCGAGGGCCTGTTGCTACGTGCCGGTGGCGTGATTTGCGTTTTTTTTTGGGGGGGCGCGGGGCGCCGCGGAAAGAAATTGGTTTTGCGTTGCCGTAAAAAAGGCGACCTTAGCCGCCACGCCGGCAAGCAACCGCGCGGCGCATTCGCAATACCATTCGTGTCGCGTCTTCAAACGCGCCTTTGCGAGACGGGTTGGGCTTATTTTGGCGATGGGGATTTACAATGTAATCCGATCCGGGGCCAACACAATGTTAAGCGACTCCTTAAACTTCATATTCCTAAAGGGCGGCGTTGAAGAATTTCATTTTGGTAGTCGGAAACTTTGTGCGGGAAAGTGCCCAAGACCGTTGCGAGAAAACGGTGTTTTTTTTTTTTTTTTGTGCCTTTGGACCTTTTATTGGTTTAATTACTGGAAATTTGCTTGGGACCTTATTTTCTTCATAACCGCATGGGGCCGCGACGGCGCCCCATGGATTTGCGAAGAGGCAAATCATCCAACTGAAGCTGTAAAATTCCAAGTTTTGCTTTGCACAGATTGCGGGTAAAAGCTCCAAAAAGGTTCGCGTTTTTGCTTACAATTTTTATAGCATTTTATGGCGCGAAAAAAGTGTTCGCCCCGTCGCCTGCCTTTTTGTTGCGGCGTGCTGTGGGTTTCCTTGGATGTGCGTCTTCCCCTCCCTTCCTTTGGGGCCGCCTAAAAGTGCGCGGCGCCGGTGTCGCTCGCCATGGTTTTCGTAGACGCCTTCCTTTGAAGAGGGGAAGTGGGAAAGGGAGGCGACAGTAATAGTGGCAAATAAGAAAAACAACGACGCACCCATCTGTGTGTTTACACTTTTCTCTCTCTCGCCTGAGGGTGGGAATTCGCAGTCTCTCTCTCCCTTTCTCTCTCTCTCTCATTGCGGTTGCGTCCGTCTCTTTCAAATTCGACCTGTTGTTTTCGCCGTTTTTGAAGCGGAGGGCGAAAAAAGTTCTTGTCGGGACGCTGCCGCTGCTGACGGTGGTGCTGGCGGTGCGTCGGCGTCACGTGGGGAGGAAGTGAGTGCGTCGTGTTGAGTTTCAGCGCCTTGTGAAAGTGTATTTCGCTTCGCTTCGGAATGGGCTAACATTTCACGGTACCTTTTTAACGAATTCCGCAACATGCTTTGCTCCGCGTTCGTTAACTGAATTGGATGGTCCTCATTTTTTTCATTCAAAAGCCGACTGGCTTCCGCCATTGCGAGGTGAATCGCCCGCGCCTGCCTCTCCGAATTTGCATGCGATCGGATCGAGGTTAAGAAGAAAAAACAACGCACAAGCGTCGAGGCGCCACTTTTACCGCCGTCACGCATCATGGGCGCTGCCTCCACCACACTGTAAATTATTTCCTCCATCCGCAGACCTGTTTGCACCTTGTGTTGCGCGAGAAGGGTGCATACCATGGCGACCGCCAAACGAAACGACGCAAACTCCGGTGAGGCGGACGAGGGAAGACGCCGCAAATTTTCCAGCGAACCCTGCAACGAGCACAAACTCATTACCACCACCGCGCGTAAACTCAAAGGGGCGCCCTCCAACAATGCGCACACACGGCACAGCAAATCCCACGTCGCAGCAGATGTTAAAACAAAAGCAAAGCGACTAATGGAACGAACCGCCTCTACAAAGAGCAAAGAGGCTCCTTCCACATGAAGACTCGCTTCGCCGATGCAAATGACATGCCTCATACTCGTAGCGTCAGCGACAACGACTCTCTTGAGAACATTCTGAACGGGAACGGTAAACCGAAGAATCGCCTCAGTCCCACAAGCAAATGAAACAGAGGAAAAAACTCCAGCAACCTGTGCTATTGTCATGGCTTCTACATCAGTTACCAAACGACTATTGGAAAGCACTTGAGTCGTCACTAATCGACTAAGTTGCTTGTAGACAGGTACAGCATCCGCTGGTTCAGCAGGTGCAGTCGCTGCAGTTCGCTTCCAAAAACGCACGCGTCCCAAAGAGTTAGTTTTCAAGGAGCTTCGAACATGTTCATAGTGACGTAGCTGCTTCACGACCCTACACATGCCTTGCAACTCTGCGGGGCTCCAAGTGAGAGGGATACCGGCCTCCAACGTCTCCGCCAAAATGTCAGTAGCATCATGAACAAGTTGTAGACATCGTTCCTTTAGCAGTACGGGATCGGCTCTCAATATGCCTGGCATTGGCGCTTCCGTCGAGACTTCTACCGCAATCACAGAAGAGAAAAACTGTAAAAGTAAACAACAGAGGGAATTGGATTTGGTAAAGAGTGACCACCTTTGTTCTACCATCGCCACCAGGTTTGCTAGATCATCCCATGTCATCAAGCCATTTCCCTCAAGCCCATCACAGCAAGCTTCCATCACACGAGAAAGGGCTTCGATTTGCTGAGATGCGGCATCTTTGCCCCAAACACCGTTTAGAGCTTCCGTGAAGCGTCGTAACGTTGTATTGGTGAGCCGAAACGAAAATTTATGCCGCACGGCGTTGGCGAGAATCAAACTAAGATCATCAACATTCAGCTGTAACCGCGTCCGTGGCTGCTGAACATCTTGAAGGAGTCGTTCACTCAAGAGCTCCCGAAGCTGCAGGGATGATACTACCACGGTCTCTGCATTTTGCGACGACGTTGACGCGAGCCGTTCCCCACTCACTTGTGGAAGCTCGGCAAACCCTTGACCCTTGCCACGGGCTAAGTGGGAACGGGCACCAATGAAGTGGGCTTCAAGGGATCGTGCGGGATTACATTTAGAGCTGGAGTGAATGCGTCGGATGAGCACATCAAACGGCAAGGAAGCAATATGTTGCTGCAGTGCAAGCAAAGAAGGAGGGATCACCTTCATGAATGCTTCAACCGCGCGCTCTGGCCACCAAGACCCTCATGTATGGTTTGCCCCTAACCCCCTTTTTCACCCAAAAACTCCTCTCTTTCTCCTTTTCGCAGGCAGACGCAGAAGGACACGCGTAGCATGAATTGTAAAAAAAAACAACAAAAAAAAGCAACACTCCAGAGACATCAAAAAATCATAATTTTTTTTTTCTTTTTGTGGAACAACTCTGCCGTATCACAAGATGGGGGAACAATGCGAAAAGTTCTCCCCCCCTAACTTTAATTCATTTTATTTTATTTTCCTTTCATTCTCACCTCTGTCCGGATGAGGACTGCGTGACATCTTCCTCCCCCTCTTCTCCTTCTTCTTCGGCCGCCTTTATATCACCTGTGTCATCCGTCACGGAGACAACTGCCCCGGAGAATCCACGCGATGGATCTCCGTATTCCCCGCCCTCCTCTTCCACCTGCTCTTCTTCCCCAACCTTTTCGGCGACCTCCTGTGATGATATTGCGAGGAACTGATTGATCGCATCCAATACCTGGTGGTGAGAGGCATGTGACTCTTCAGCCGCCTTCACGCCTGTGTCGACGGTTGTTGTTGTTGTTGCGGAATTAGTAGTATTAGTATTGGCAGGAGCTGCCATAGATTGCTCTATTCTTGCCAAGAGATCCTTCTCGGTTCCTAGTTGCGCCTGCAGGTGCTGACGTTCCTCCAAGAGCGTTGCTGTATGCTTCTTCCACATCACATCTGCACTCTGCAGCGCTGCGGTGATGCGTTGTGCCAGGCCTTCGCCCAACTCTTGACATGCATGTGTAAACATTTCTTGCGTCTCCTTCAGTCGTTGCTCCTGCTTCTTGAGAGTTTCCATCAAGTGACGAATGTGCACCGTTTCATCCAGCGTGTGGCCGCGTTGCTGCTGCTCCACCGCCTGAAGGATATAACCGCACATGCGTTTCACCGCCTCAACCACTTCTTGAACTTCACCCTCATGCGTGTTCCACGCATTGGCGCTGCGTCGTGTGAGCTGTACAATCTCTGCACGCAACTCCGTCAACATGTTATTGAGAGAAGCAGCAAAACTCATTTCTGCGCGGAGGAGTTCCAACAATCCAGCCAAAGCCGTCGACAGTTTTTCCGAAAATAGGACAGAGACATTGTAGGATGCACGCAACTGTTGATTCTCCAATCGCAATGACTCCGTGGAATTCATTAACGCAGCATTGCTGTTAAGTGTTTCTGTCATAGCACTCTCGCGTGCGGTAAGCGTGGAACGCATTTCTGCCTGCAGTTCCTCGAACTGTTTCTTTGCATCATCGCGTTCTTTGATGACTTTTGAGAGCTTTTCTTGGTACGTCTCAAGTTGCTGCTCATACTCTGTGATGCGCTGCTCCATGCCGAGAAACGTCTCCCTTCGCCGCATACCACCTTCCGTGTGGACACTGGCTTCTTCTGCCAAACCAGTTAGCAAATCAAAAGCCTGCATTTCCGCCCTCTTAACCCTCTGCAAGACGGAGCCATTGTCAGCAACGCTATTACTGGTCTGAGTAACCTCGTTCTCCAACAAGGCCTCACGTGTAATGAGGGCGGTGATGCGTTCCTCGTGCAGCGTAATGTAGCGATGAATTTTCTCCCGTTGCTTGGTGAGTTGCGCCACCTCATTCTTAAGCTCCTGCAATTGCCGCATTGCCTGCTGGATGGCCTGCGGGTCAGCCACAACGCTTAAACTTGCCGCAGCAGCCTTCACGGCGGCGTCTCGTATCGCGGCGCTGCAATGCTGCAGTTCCTCTTCCTGCATGTGGTGCGAGATGGCAGAAGCAAGACTGCTGCGCAGGTAGTCACGTTCCACCTCAAGCCCCACGCATTGTGCCCGCAGCGATTGATTTTCCTCCCGCACGCGGCCAATTTCCTCGGCGAGAGTGACTAACTTATTCGTCACGGTGGATCGTGTGCGCTCCATCCGTGTCAACTTTTCTTGTGTGGTCCGCAGTACCCGCTCCTTCTCTCGCAGCTCTTCGACCTCTTCTCGCAACTGCCGCAACTCATCACTTCCCTCCTGCCAAAATGTGATGAGTTCACGGCGGACAGAGTTGGGATTATCGAGTATTTCCTTCTCGACACGACGTCGCTTGGACGCCAGCGCCTCATCAGACGACGTGTGTTTCGTCTGTAGAGACTGAATGGTGTTCTCCAGCCGCGCAATGGTCTCCTTGTGCGTCTCCGCCGTTGCCTGTGCCTCCGCCTCACGTGCTTCCACCGCCGCCACACGCGTCAGGAGGTTTTGTATTGTGGATTGACCCAATGCCACCTTCTCTTCCAGCTGCGCCTCACGTAATGCATGCCACACCCCTCCTCGCTTCTGTGACTCCTCCATCTGCAGGCGGAACAGCTCACGCTCTGTTTCCACCTGATCCAGTCTCGTCCGCATCTCCCCCAGGTGCTCAAGCAGACGTGGAAGCTTCAGAGTGTCATGAAGGCCTTCCCTGACATTCTTATTGGCTTCTTCTGTTGAAGCTTCACTCCTCTGCCGGAGCTCCTCTACTTGCTGTCGAAGAAGCGCGTCGGATGCACGCAGGTATCGCAACTCTGCCAACAACGAGGGCGGTTGCTCGCCAGTTTCTGTAGCTTCTGCACTTGCCGCCGCCAGTTCTTCTTCCAGCTGCAGCACACGTTGGCGTAAAGTGTCTCGTTCACACGTCAGCACCTCCAACTTGCCGTTAAGCCCCGCCACACATTGTGTCTGCATCTCGCTCAGCTTCTGCACCATTTCCTCGTTCTGCGCGCCCAACACGCGTAATGTTTCCACAAGCGCTGAAACTCGTTGTGTCTCACCCTCATTTTCTTCTTTTCCCTCTTCTTCTGCCTTACTTCCCAACACAACGGCGTTTGACATGACATTTTCCAACGTGCGCCTCGCATCGTCAAAGAATCGCTGCATTTGCCCCTGCAAGACAGACTGCAGTACTCGCTCATTGTCTGGGATGCCAATTTTCGTCTTGAGCCGGGCATTCTCCGCGAGCAGCTGCGGAATGAGCAGGGCTGCACTGTCCGCAACACTTGCCATTGCGTATCTATCTACTCTTTCGATTAAAATCCAGGAAAGAAAAAAAAATGAAAAAGAGAGAAAGAGAGAAAGAGAGGAGGTTCAATACAGTGAGCAAAGTGAAAGAAATTACACGGTGTGTTCATTCCGCGCGGAAAATCCATGGGCATACAAACACAAATAGTCGTTTATTATTTCACAAATAAATTCCCACCGCCCCAGCAGCGGAGCCAAAAAGCGCCTGTGAACACTGTGCCTGGGGTTGCTCCCGCATCATCAACCGTTGCTGAGCTCGGTCACGCATTCTGGCGCAACTTCCCTTATAAACCTGTTATTCGATGAAAAATGTTCCATGGGACGGGCAACAAGGCCATTCCCTCAGCGGATCACGCAGACGGATGAGAATGGTATCAATATGGCTCCGCCAAGAAGGATACATGATAGTTACCGCGAGTGCAGCCGTCCTTGACGCGGTGTTTCAGTGCGTCTGTTGACGTGGCTGCAAGTATGATTTAATTATGGCTCGCTTTCTCCACTTCTCGCATCACCTCCTTCATCGGCCACACCCACACGGAGGAAGCCGCAGTGAACTGGAGACTGCACTTGTTTTCCTCCGTGTGTTTCAGCAGGGCTGCAACACAAAGAATTACGTGGTGTCTGTAACATTTTCCCCGAAATGACGCCATACTCGCGGGTTAGGGGGCAAATTGAAAGCGAGTCGCGGCGAAACACCATGAAGTGGATTGATGAATTCACCAGCAAAGAGGGTTTCATTAAGGGTGATGTTCAGTCTGACGGGGAGTGTGCGATCAACATCTCCATTTGCTGGCATGATGATGATGATGATGATGTGCGGCGTTGTAAAGGGCGGCAGAGAAATCCCCGATTCGCCCTTCGCAGTTATTTGAATGCAATGAGGGACGATTAACGCAAAAACAACAACAACAAAGAACGCCAGCGGCGTCGAGAACTTCGAAGGATGCGTCTACGCGGTGTGTGTCGCCATTCGCTTTAACGGGAAGGGATAATCCACATCACCAAACCTTTGACGGTGATAAATAAGAGAGAAAGAGCCAGAACAACACTGTGGAATATTCAGTTGTGAGGCCATTGCATGAATGCGCTCTGCTGAGGGATGAAGAAAAAGAAAAAAAGTGCACAGAAATCCGCCGTTCACCATGCTCCACACTTCGCGCCATTTTTCTTCACCCACAGGAAAAAAATAAAACAAAACAAAACAATGAATGCCACTTCATTCCCTTCTCGCGAAGTGGTGTTCATTCCTTTCCTTCCGCATCGGATGTCATAAGACCGCCGCGGCGATGCATGGGCGGCGCGTATCGCGGTGGACGCTGGTAGACGGGTTCAGGCAATTCACCTGATCGCAGCTGCGCCTCCAGTGGCGCCCCGTTATCGCCATGGCGGCGGTGACCGTTTTGAAAGAGACGGCTGTTCTTCGCTATACCGCGGGAGTGATAAGTGAACGACGCCGCACGGTGACCATCGCTGTCCGCATAACCGCCAGCACTCATGGTCCCGCGAGCAAAGCGGGCGATAAGGCACACACTGCGCATGGTAATTCCAAGTTTTCGAGGTTCTGTCCACTCCACCGGAAACGGGTTCAAGCCGGCCTCGCCTATGCGCTCCATAGAATTCGGGTAGTCCTGATCCACCAGCACATCATACACCGCGTTCACACCACAGAGATGGGAAAGGAAACTACATCCAGGCTCCACACGTAATATTTGCCACGGGATTTTTGGAATGCTAATTGCGGCCGCCTCTGCCGCATGACGGCCATGAACCGTGTCCTGTACGATAAGTGTGCGTTTGCCGGCAAAGGCCAATAAATCTGCAAGTGGTGGAGCATCCGGTGAAACCTCAATGGGCACCACGTTTAGTGCACGTTGCTGCAGAGCGGCCGCCTCATCTGCAGCACCACCCCCTGTGAGAGCCATCATTGAAAGTTTGTTTGTCCGTGCAGTGCCATATGCCATGAGAATGCCATGAGATGTTGACACAAAGTCTCCACCACTCGCAGCCCCACCCTTCACGTCCTGCAGTATGTGGTTAAAATCACCCGAGGCTCCACAGGCTCGTAAATACCGAAGTGTCTCGCTGATTTCTGAACTGCGGTGTTCCCTGCCGTACTTGGGCATCGGCAAAACAATATCGTAGTGTTGAAAAATAAGATCTGCAGTGAAGAGGCATTCATAATACGGACAAGTTCGCATCTCATGAATTTGTTCCACAAGCTGAGTCTGCTTCAGCGAATAAAAAAGTTCCTTGAACTGGCGAATAAACAACTCTGTGTCAACCTCTTCTCCACCTGAATTGTGCGTTGGGACCGTCTGTACGGGAGGAGCCCGGTAAAGTGCATTCACGTACCGCCGTGTGGAGGTAAAGATCGGCACGGAGATGCCGTGTATTGTCCGCTGCCGCCTCGAGAGAAGGCGGATTGTTGCATCCCCTGCCGCCAACAAAGAACACATTCCTGAGAAATGCAAGAGAAAAGGGGAAAGAGAGCAACGGGTCACATGCATTCATAAATCGGCTTGTGTGTGTGTTTATGTATGCGGAGGGAAGGGGGTTAGAGAGCATGACGTTGGGTTAAATAACTCCGCCATGCAAATTAATTGTTAAGGAGGCCAAAGAAATTCTGGAATACGCCAAAAAAAAAAAAAAAAAAAGGGAAAATCACCTGCTTTTTTCTTGTGTTTGCACGACCTTCCATTTGCTGACATCTACCCATTGCAATAATCTCTATCCACGCGTTTTTTTAAATTCTCACTTCCAGCAACGAGGGCAGAAGAGGTAGAGAGAGAGAAATGGACGGAGTAAAAATGATGATATGAATAGAAATAACAACTACAAACGACCCCAACACACTCCGGGGAAATATACGTGGCTAAAAACTCACTGCGCTGGCGGGGGAGCGGCGGTCTGAATTGACACCGCCGGTGCCGCCTGCCCTGACTGCACCTTTGCGTGTTTCCGGCGGCGGGTGCCCATCATATCATCGCCATATGGCATTTCGTCGGGGTGGAAAATTGTCAGCACAATTTTCCCACGCGTGTGTCCCGTGGAAATGATGTCCAATGCGGTGTCGGCACGCTCCACGGGCACAGTCTCCAGCTGCAGTTGAAAGGCACCTAGCTGGTAGAGTTTCATGCACGTTTCCACCACGTGTCGGAGGTTGCCGCGTGTGAGGGGGTCGGCGTGCAGCCCAGCAAGGCAGACGTAACCTATCGACAGCTGCCGGCGGAAGAACACCTCACTGGATATTGGCATATGCTCAGGAAGAACGCAGATAGAGCCACCAAATCGCAGGGCGTCTGCGTGATGCACCGCCAACGCGGCATCGGCAACCTCCAGCACGTAGTCAACGCCAAATCCCCTCGTATGGGCAAGGCACTCACCTACGACATCTGAGGCAGTATAATCAAAGACATAGTCTGCTCCCAGCGACTTCACATAGGCGACGTTAACGGTAGAGCAGGACGCTAACACGTACATTCCAGCGTACTTGGCCAGTTGCACCGCCGCAGAGCCAATGCCACCTGACGCACCGCTGATGAATATACTACGCCCAGACGAGACACGCAGCTTGTCAAACAGCGCGACATACGCCGTCCCCACAGCACACGGCATCACAGCGGCCTCCACAAAGCCAATCACATCATCAGTTGTAGGCGATGGGATCCTTCCAACCGCATCGGCCATCGCCAATGCATATTGGCAGAATGTCCCACCGTTTGTCATTGTAATGTCCGCAAGGAAGGCGACGCGATCACCCACCTGTAGACCGTACCGCTCGCGTTGCTCCATGTCATCATTGTCCCAGCCAACACTCTCGACGACACCAGCACCTTCTGTGCCCATCACATAGGGGAAAGGAAACTCGGGTGGCTCATGTCGCGTGGATGTAGAGACAATCTCACTAACACCACCACCAATGTTGCTGTTGCTGTTTTTACCAACCTTTCCAAAATTTTCATTACACCAGGAGAAGAAGCCATTGTTGCGACCAAACCTGGGACGCTTTACATCGACGGGGTTTACAGAGGCAGCGTATATCTTCACACGCACCTGTCCCGGGCCCGGCGGCGGCACCATCACATTATCCACGTATACCATTGCCGATGCCGACCACGAGCGAATGGGCTTCTCTATCGTCCACCCCTCACAGCGTATTGTGTGCCCTTCGGGTGCCGTGCCGTTATTGTTATCCTTCTCCTCCATGCCCTGTCCCTCCTGAGCCTGTGAATTCACTGCACCCATTACTATTTTTCTGTTTGCGCTTGAATGTTTGTATAAAAGGAAACAAAAATCAAAGCAAAACAAAACCCCGCACGTTTTTTTTTTTATATTTAAATAATGAGAGACGAGAAGCAAAAAAAAAACAAAAACAAAAAAAAAAAAGGAAGAGTGGGCGCCAAGGCCACATAAACAAAACAAAAAAAACCACAAGAAGGGAAATATATAAAAGGGGGTGGGTGGAAAAGAAAAAACAGGTCCATTCCATCCTGCAAGAATAAAAAATGCTCATGCGTCCAAGCGTGATGGATACACATATATATCCCTCCCTGATAAGTGGGCAAGAGAAAAGATGTGTGGAAATACGAATTACGCACTCCCCCCCCAATTAAATGAAGCCGTATGCATTTGTGTGTAAATGTAATGGAACTACACAATAATAAACAAGGAAGCAGAATCTCGTTGTTCTTTTAATTTCCACTCATTCACTTCACTTTATAGAAACTGAATGAGTGCGTCCGTATGGAAATCGGCACATTAATGAGAGCCACCCAAACACAGAGACACAAAAATGCAGACACAAGACGCAAACTCAGGCGGTTTCATTCATTTTTACCCTCAATCGCTTCACGCGCCGCACGTGGCCGCTTAATTGCAATTTCCAGCAGAGGCACGTCTTCGTCATCCTCGTAATCATCCGCCTCCTCCTCCTCATCGCGGCCTCGCTCCTGATCGACGTTATTACTATTACTGTTATTATCATCATCATCATGATCTTTGTTGCTCGCGCTTTGGGTGAGGTTATTCGTGTTGCGTTTTCTATTCACATTGCTTCCACCTGTCATCTGCCGCAGTCGCTTTTTGAAGAGCCGCTCGTCCGTCGGGGACCATGGCTCAGGGCGCCGCACCATCGTTTTGTGTTTTAGTTCATAATGTCGTCGAATGGTGCGAAGAATCTCCGCCCGCGCAACTCCCGCGCACAACTGCTGCTCCTGCAACGCCTCAACAATGGCTTTGGGAAATATTTTCCCGTTGGCTGCAATGATGGCGTGCATGGCGTCAATTTCATCGGGAAGCATATCACGACGGTTACGGAGTGCCGCCGCAACCAGCCGCTGCTGTAGCACCCTCTCGTCCAACGACTCCGCCGTTGCATTTTCTGTTGGTACCGTGCCACCGCCTCTATACCCGCTCCTGTTGGCGTCGGAAAGGGAGATCAATGCCGCGGCGGAGCCCAGTCCCCGCATCTCTTGCTCCATCATTGCCGTGAATGAGGCGCCATCAAGCGCGCAGGCCAGTCGCTCCATTCTATCACACTCACGGAGCGGGTGCTCAAGTCTGGGGATGCCCACAAATGGTCCACTGAAGACCGGCACCAGCTTGTCCTTGTGACGCAGCCGATTAAACCGCCGCTGGCGTTCCT